ATACTGTCGCAACGCTACTGGAATACTTGACTATTCCAGCGCTACTCGGATGTTAAAAATTTGAATAGTACTCGAATCATTCGAGATCGCCCCGCCCTCCGTGTGACGCATTCACGCGTGCTCGGATGCGCGTAGGTAGAGGTCGAGAATTTCTAGAGCCGAAGTCAGTACTTAGCCACTTTCTCTTGTGAACGCAGTTCGTTTCCTTTTTCCATTCGCGTCACGAATCATCCTCTGCTGTCGAAGAGTAGTCCGAGCTGCTCTAGCGCTATACTCAGGAAATTAAAAGTAGTACCTCTAACAGAAATGGAACGATAATACCAGGTAGATCAAGGTAGAGAAAGAACAATGACAAGATGACAAGACATAATTGGACCACAGTCGGAATTAGGAGTGCATAGCTTTCGTCGAGAAGTTGTATAAACGACGACTTCCGGGGGTGGGGCGGAATGGGAGCGCAAAAACGCGGTAAACATTCGAAACAAGGCGAACGGCCATCGTGTCGCGTAAATTGCAAAAGAACTAGCATGGTATCGCGGCTATTGTGGACTTCCCGTTTTTGTTGTCTTCCTCTTTAAGCGGCGGCCTTCCGGTTAGAAATTCATCCATCTGGCTAGTGAGAGCTGTTCACGATTCCGTTCCAACTGATAGGCGTCATCGACCATTATTGTTTCCTACTTTCTTCCTTTTAATCCCATAATTTATGGGACGCTTGGCGAATGCCCTCGTATCGATTTACGAGACGATCGCGACTCGGTTGACTTACAAATGATCCTCTGGATCAAAACAAAGGAGCCGTTGCTTAATTCATACCATTTAGGATACATTTTTGGTGTACACACACCGCCATTTTGCGAGAGTGTGCTTGCATTCAGTAATAGTAAAGAAAGTGAAACGCGAATTAGGCGCCCAGTACGCATTAGGCAACTCTCTCCTGTTTAATGACTGTAATTTTTTATTGTATGCCGACGACCTTGGACTCTGTCCCCACCAGATCGATTAGTG